AAGATGCTAGCGTGAGACATTGTCTGGTAGGAAAAAGAGCTGGAACTGGGATGTTACTAAATGCACAATTACTTCCAACGACTGTTTCATATTGTTGTGGCTCCGCCGTGAATCTGACCTGTTTTATCTGCCCATCAGCAGCCATGATCCTTGCCAGGGTCAGAGTCATATCTGAATCGGTGGCCGATGTGAACCATTTGAAACCGTGCAGGCTGTAGGAGCCATCTGGAAGTTCCCGTGCGATTGTTTCTGTTCCACCTCCTGGGGAAAAAAACAAACAAATTTTTGCTGCTGGGAATCTTCCCTGAAAGAAGAACCAAGATACAAATGACCATTGACTGATTAGTTAGTTTTAGATCCTGCTTTTCATTCAGGAGCTTACGGTGACCTTAGCAGCACTCCCTCTTGTCTTCCCCAGCAAAACCCTGTGAGGTAGGTTGGGCTTAAGAGGCAGAGCCTGGCTCAAATAAACAATGACACCCAAAGTGTTGGAAGCCTTGCGGGAGTTCATTGGTAAGAATCTAAAGAGAGGTTTTATTGTACCTACACATTCTCAAATTGCTGCACCGGTGCTTTTCAGGGAAAAGAAGGATGGCTCCCTATGTTTGTGCACAGATTATAGAGGGCTGAATGCCATTTCTGCTGACAACTGGTACCCACTCCCCTTGATGAAAGACCTGTTAGCCCATTTATCCAAAGGGAAAATTTTCACGAAGCTGGATTTAAGGGAGGCGTACTTCAAGGTGCGAATCCGGGAAGGAGATCAATGGAAATCCACTTTTAATACACCCCTAGGATGCTTCCGTTATGAAATAATGCGGTTCAGATTAAAAGGAGCGGCGGGGGTGTTTATGCAACTTATAAATGAGGTGTTACAAGAGTATTTATACCAGGGGGTGTTGGTTTATCTGGACAATATCCTGATTTACACTGAGACCATGGAGCAACATGTACAATTAGTCAGGAAGGTACTAAAAAAGCTACTGGAGGCTCAATTGTATGCCAAGCTCTCCAAATGTG